CGCATGTGATATTTAATGCGCATCTTGTCAGTAAAGCCGGTTCTTTAATCAGCGGTAAATCTCCATCACCTGCGTGCTTTCACATTGAGCAGCATTAACTACACAGAGCCGTTGTTCACTGACAAGCTGCACAAAACCACGATCATATTTTGCGCAGATTGTCGGTGAACAACGGCTCTGTGTAGTTAATGCTGCTCCATGTGAAAGCCCGCAGGTGATGGAGATTTACCGCTGATTAAAGAACCGGCTTTACTGACAAGATGCGCATTAAATATCGCATGCGATTTATCATGCAGCCCTAGTCTATATCATCACTGTTGAAGAGTAATTAGCTTGTGAAGTGGATTTACTTATTGTAGCGTTAACGAAAGTTATCATGTGCATTGTAATATTCGAAGCAGATGTCATAACAGATGTCAATAAACTGGGAAGATTTTAAAATGAGCAGTTCATTCATAAATTTGTACACCCAAACCTTCACGCTGTGGAAATACAAACCAGAATACAGAAAACAACAAGTGCAGCACTGAAAAGGGGCAGGGCTATATCTATATTTGAACCCTTTACAACAGTGACTGCATGATTTCGAAATCCATCTTTTCACACTGATGGCAACAGATATACTTATATGCAACTACTACAAAGACTGAAAACATTCACTTATATTCAAGAAGGAAACACAATGCATTAAGACTTTTTGAACAGGGTGATGTGGAAGTTTTTTTCTTATTTTAAATATCATATTTTTTTCCATTTAGTACTGCTCTTCAGAAGCTACAGATGCTGTTTCAAAGAAGATTAGAATTAGAAGTTTCAGAAATGCAAGAAAATTATTTTATATGTACTTTTTTCCACAAAATTGAAAATTCTGATTCTTTGCTATGAACAGTTTTCTTCTTCTCACACACTTACTTTCTTGCGAACCCCCTCTTGCACACTGGATAGTTTGAGGAGGACAGGAGGCAGGAATTTGGATATAATATCCTGCAACTGCTCATCTGTTTCTGCATGACCCAAGCGCAAAAACACACGCTCCAACTGGTCTATAATGGAAAACAAAGAGAAAGCAGGAATTCGTAAGTTGCAGATACAGTGTTCAAAATAAGCAGGGCTAACTTAGCTATTTTCAAATTGATTTGAATGAAAAAAATCTCACATACTTCCTATATGATCACAGGGTAATTATAAGAAGCTTATATTTTAGTTAAATCTATTTATTAAAGAGACACTGAGAATTATTGCAATGCATCTATGTCCCTTGCATAAGTGCATTTCACCGGCTCTCTATAAATCAATTTACAATAAAATTATTTAACAAGCTTGCAATGAACAACAGAAGATAAGAATTACTGTAAATACAGATAAACGATAAATATAGACGCTATAATCGCTAACATTAGTTGGTTAGCCTGTGATCTGAATAGCCTCACTGCTAACCGACGTTAACTGTTATTATCTACTACATATTTATTTCTCACGCTGTCAATAAATGACAACCAGACCAGGACCACTATGACGTTTAGATAACGCTATTTTCACGGTAAAAAGAGGTTGTAGTGTCCTCTAAATTAAAACACCCCAAAAGAGGTACTTTCATTTTGGAGCATGACTGAGCATTGGGCCTCTGTAAGTAAATACTAGCCGGCTAGCTGCCAAACTGATATTCACTTTACAAATATTTATTTATGTAACTACAGATAGACAAACAGACAGCACGGTGAACTCAGTCTTCATAAGAGTGACAAATAATGAAGAGGGTATTGAAAACAAGAATGCAGTAATGAAGAAATAACGCATGTAGAATGAGTTAAACTTACTGAGCTCGTCCTGTGCAGCCATGTTTGAAGTGAAGTCTCCACCAGCACTGCCACTCCCAAGACAGCGTCTCTCTCTCTCTCTCTGTGGCTGTTTTTACTAACACATCCTGTTGTGTAAGCAGCGTCTCTCTCTCTCTCTCTCTCTCTCTCTCTCTCTCTCTCTCTCTCTCTCTCTCTCTATTAGTTTTCAATTTTTTTCAATTCTATTAAGCTTTATTAGCATGATTGTGTAACATAATGTTGCCAAAGCATTAATATAAAAATAAAGAAAGAAACAATAAAAAAACAGATAATAAATAAAAATCCATCATCTCTCTCTTGTTGAAATGAATTTCATTACTTTCATTAAAATCAGATTAACTTCATACAATGAAAAATGGTACAAAGCAAATAAAATAGTTGTCTAAATTAAAAAGATAAACACATTTGACAAAGGGCATACATTTATTATGCAATGTAATTATACAAAGAATTAAACAAATTAAAACAAAATTATTTTTATGAGCTTATTTAACCCTGCAAGGCCTACTTTATCATAATCAATACATAAAGTTCTAAGGCCTCTAAATTATTAACATCATAAAATCTTTGCTGAAAAATCTGTTGTAAAAATCTTCTATGTGCATTCTGCCTATGACTGATAGTTTATACTTGTTTAGTTAGTAAAAGACCTTTTAGTATCATTCTAAAAATTGTCCACCTTCAGGCTGTGGTAACGTAAATGTAAGAATCAGAATCAGATTCACTGCCAGGTATGTTTACGCATACAAGGAATTTGTTTTAGTGACAGAAGCTCCACAGTGCAACAAAATGATAGTGACAAGACAAGACACAGAGAAAACAAGAGTAATATACAAATAGACAAAATAGACAATTTACAAAATAGCAAAGACACAATATACAAAATAGATAATTTTGTATGTACAGGTATGGTATGTGCAAATTTTAAATGTAAATAAGTATGTGTTAAATGTATAATAGTGTTGTATTCCACGCTCCAAGAATATCTTTTATATTGTTATTTATATTTCAAGAACAATATCAATTTCAAGAATATTTATTGAACTGAACTGAAGCAACTTTACAGGTACATTATTATCCATACATCATTTTAGGAAGAAAAAACAGGCTTTTGGAGTTTATTTGTAATTCTCAGTCATCACTGTATTGCATTGAATGGTTTGCCCTCCAGTGCAGAGCTTTCATCACAAAACTAAGCAAAAAAATATAATCTTACTAAGATATATTTTTTTGGAGATATAGTGACAACTGATATTTATTTGCATTTTACTGGATATACGTATTCTGCTATACTGTTATACTAAAAATCTCTTGATTTACATTATAAGCTACCTGAATTTCATCTATTTAGACATATTATTTAATCTTTTTGGCTAAGTTCCATAATTTTGCTCAGTTTGTGCCTCTGAATTTTTTTCTTCCATGAGAATGAGCACTATTTTCTCATTATATCATAGTACTATATGGGCCATAAAACCCTGATGTGTCAAATACAAAACATGAAACATACACAAACTTTCCCGTGTGTGTGTGTGTGTGTGTGTGTGTGTGTGCGTGCGTGCATACGTGTGTGTGTGTGTGTGTGGTCAAAAGTTTTAAAAAACTGTTACATTAAAAATATATATTTTTCTATTCTTTACTATTAGACTATTACTTTAAAAATAATTGTTCTTAAAATATAATACAAATTCCAGAGGGAGACCTTTGAGCATTAGCCTTCTGATAAAGTCTATAAATTGACATTACAAATGAACAGCTTTACAGGAAGTTTTAACTCAAACATGATGTGTTGATTGACATAAATTTGTATAGTGGAACCATCATGAGGATACTAAAAAAGTTAATGGGGTTTAAAAAGTATGAGGGAAGCTCTCTTCTTTCTTCCTGAGAACTTAAGTCAGATGGGGATGTTTAGTGGATGGTGGACTGTGGGAGAAAAACAGGAAAAGGCTAGAGAAGATTACAAGACACAAAAAAAGCAATTCAGACACATAACTGTTTGTGTTCGCCAAATAGGGAAGGGAGTTTTCCCACTAGGCCTACTGGCTGTTTGATTTTGTTAAACATATTTCACTGCTGTAACTTAATTTATCACACTTATAAAGGAAATGCAATTATGTCACATTTTAATAAAAACGTAATTCAAAACAGCTTTTTTACACTTTTACTGCAATGCTCTACTGACTGACGAGGACTTTTAATTTGAATGAGAAACGTTTGCCATTTCCTGTGCATGCATTAATTGGATATATTTAATAAGATCATTTCACTAGTGGAATAAATTTAGGTCAACGTTTGGTTGCAGAAATTTTGAGTTTACATGGAAGTGTAGATGAATGAAAAAATTAATTTTTACACTAGTTTAGTTTAACTTTATTGTCTGTCCAGATTTCCTGAACAGAAATTCATCTTTGACACTGGCATAGAAAATACATCCTAACAAATAATACTACACATACAATACAATATATACGTATGCCCACACATGTGCATACACGTGTACACACACCTACCCAGAAAGATACCTCATGATAATACCTCAATTAAGAATTTGGTTTAAAACAGTCACCGCCAATGGTACAAATGATCTTTTATATAGGTTCTTTTTAGCCAGCGGTATACGCAGCCTGCGCCCTGAAGGAAGGGCCTCAAAGCAGGAATGAAGTGGATGAGTTTGGTCTGAATATACTGCGATCGCCTTTTTTTCCATAAAGTGTAAAAACAGCTCTTGCATTGTACTCTGTTTCTGGCCGATTATCCTATTTGCTTCATTAATTACTCGTGTTAATTTATTTTTCTGTTTCATTGTTAAATTGCCATACCATGATACAATATTATATGTTAAAATACTTTCAATCATCGATCTATAAACAATGGTTAAGACCGTCCTATCAATGCTAAAATGTCTTAGCTTCCTGAGTAGACCTAAACGCTGTCTTTACACTAATCATGTAAAAGCCCTTTACAAGACTAATATAGTTTGCAAATAAATAATTAAATGTAGGCTATTCAGGAGGGTAATGTATTCTGCAAGTCTAATCACAAAACACGCACGATTTTTTCCCCCGCGACATAAGCGATGAGTGATTTTGATCATCAGCTTTGCTGGCAACAAATGATGCGCGCGCCTGCAAAAGAGGCAAAGAAAGGGGGAGTTGGGGTCGAAAGCTTAATATCACGTGTATTGCTGCACAGTAAAAGCCATGTTGCTTAACAACTGTGTCAGACAAAAGGGAAAAGTTGTCGTTGTCGTTCGTAGAAAAACATTCCCCGGCCCGCCTCCTGAATGAAAATACTTGAGCCCTATTTTCCACGCCTTCAAAAACAAGGAAAATACCAAAAAATACGAGATTTTTACCGGATGGGTGTTTGGTTTCTGCTCGTAACCCAAGAGAAAACGATGAGCCTTACGTCTGATAAAATGCTAGCTGAACACAGTATTGTCAGAGGTAGGATCGTTTGTTGTTTTTGCGCTGAATCGGATGGCAGCATTGTAACATGTCGTTGTCACGCAGATAAGAAGTTGCTGCAGAATCGATGGATGTGTTATTTTCCTTTGAACTTCAGTCGAATGCACCCATGACTGTTTTCATTTGTGTGCTCGTATTGCGTCCTGTGTTGCTTTGTTATTGCATGCAGGACAGGGCATTGTAATTCTGTACTGACTCTTTGCCAAGAGTAAATATTATAGCATTGCACATTCATTTTATTGAATGAATATTATAGATATATAATATATTATAGATTGCGGCAGTGAACCCTTCTAATGTTTCATTTAAAGAATACTATGCTCTTATTTGGAAACAGGATTTGTGACATAAACACACACACACACACACACACACACACGTTTGTTTCTGTGGATTGTGGGGACTTTCCATAGACTGATATTACTTTTATACTGACCAAACTATATTTTCTATCCCCTAACCCAACCCTAACCCTAAACCTACTCCGTATAGAAAACCTGTTTGCATTGTTACACTTTCAGATAAACATTTAAACGTAGGCTGGTCCCCACAATATAAAAAATCTCAGGTTTTACTATCCTTGTGGGGACATTTGGTCCCCACAATGTAGCATAAACAAGCACACACACATACACACCCATATACATACACACACACACACACATATACATACATATATATATACTGTATGTGTGTGTGTGTGTGTGTGTGTATAATTTCCATTTTTAATCAAATTGCATAAAATCAATTTTTTATGTTCTGTCTGTTATCCTGAACCATGTTCTTTCACCTTTGACCTTTGATTGTTTTTATTCTTGTTTTTTTTTGGTAAATCTATGGATCATATGTAACCTAAAATTATTTTACATCATCCCATGAAATCAAAATTAGATTTATCTATTAGCTTTGCTTTCTATATGCTAGTGTACACCTAAAAGTTGACAAAATGATTAGCAGATACACTACCATTCAAAAGTTTGGGATCAGTAAGATTTCAAACAAATGCTGTTCTTTTGAACTTTCTGTTCATTAAAAAATATTTCACAGTTTCCACAAAATTATTAAGCAGCACGGCACAACTGTTTTTAACATTTATAATAATAATAAATGTTTCTTGAGAACCAAATCAACATATTAGAATGATTTCTGCAGGATCACATGACACTGAAGGCTGGAGAAATAGCTGCGGACAATTCAGTTTTGCCATCACAGGAGTAAATTACATTTAAAAATATTAAAATAGAAAAGAGTTATTTTAAATTGTAATATTTCCCTTTTTTAACTTAATAAATGCAGCCTTGGTGAGCATAGGAGATTTCTTTCAAAAACATTTTAAAAATCTTACTAACCCCAAACAATTGTATATGCATTTAAAATTCTCTGAGTCTGATGACTCATCATGTACTAAACAGATTTCTGCCCAATCAAATGTTCACGAGAATGAGAGCATCCTGTAACCACAAGTTGTAAATTGTAGTTCATGACTAAAGGCTGTTTTAAATAATAATAATTATGATAATAAAGGACTTCAGTATTTCCTGCCCACTCTTCCTGTTTCAACAGGAAATATGTCAATACCGGAAAGAAAGTGTAATTGTAAAAAAAATTGTAGTTATGATATTTATACTTTGATTGAGCAAATGCTTTTTCCCTGTTTACACTAAGGCGATCTGCCCAGGTGAGGTGGTGTGGTGCTGACAGATATGGAGGTGGGAAGTCTTCCTGTCGAGCTTTGGCGCCTCATCCTGGCATACCTGCCTCTGCCAGATCTGGGTCGATGCTGTCTGGTGTGCAGAGCCTGGCGGGAGCTCATTCTGAGTTTGGATAGCACACGTTGGCGCCAGCTCTGTCTAGGATGCCGTGAATGTCGCCACCCAAATTGGCCCCGTCGCCCCCACCTGCCCCCGGTTTCCTGGAGAGAGGCTCTGCGTCAGCATGCTCTTGCCAGCCGTACATGGACCCAGAATGGCTCGGACCTCCACTCGTCTGCCTGCCTCCATCTTTTCCGCCGGAGAAAAGACCGCAGAGTTTGGCATGCCGGGACCATAGCAGGAGGTGGCTATGAGACTCTTAGGGGAGTGCTGGCTGCGGCAGGGCCGTATGATAAGGTGGTGCTCCACGCGGGTGTGTATGAGGAACAGGTGGAGGTGTCCCTCAAGGTGCCTGTGGAGATTGTTGGATTGGGCAAGTTGGGGGATGTGTCGTTGTTGGTTAGCTTTGATCAACAATGCCCAACAGCGAGGCTGTGCAATCTGGTGTTCATGCCAGCGTGGTTTTCACCGGTGGTTTATAAGGTGAGTTTTGATACTTCCACATCAAAAGCATGCAAATTGTAACATCTGTGCTTATTCAACCAGAAAACACTGGCATCCATAATTGGCTGAACACATTCTCTAAACCCTATTAACTGGGGGCTTCATCTCAGTGCCCGTAAAAATCTGTGATTTACTCTGTCAGCATCCAAATCTGTAATTGCTTCAGCCCCTTAAACTTCAGCAATTGTGTGTTCTTTCTCCATGTGTTCTGTGTGTGTCTATATCTGTCTGTCTGTCCATCTATTTAGCTATCTGTCTGTCCATCCATCCGATGATCCATATGTTTATCTGTTTTTCTGTCTGTTCATCCATTCATCATCCATCCATCCATGCTATGTCTATTCGCCCATCTATCTATCCATCTTTTAAAAATATAAATATGTAATTATCTGTATATCGGTCTATCTATTCATCCCTCCCTACCCATGTAGGACATGGTTTTCCAACATTAAGCATGTCATTTGTTATCATCTCTTTTAAAGGAACACTCCACTATTTATGAAAATAGGCACATTTTCCAACTCCCCTAGAGTTAAACAGTTTTTACCGTCTTCGAATCCATTCAGCCGATCTCCGGGTCTGGCGGTAGCACTTTTAGTTTAGCTTAGCATAGATCATTGAATCTGATTAGACCGTTAGCATCTCGCTCAAATATGATATTACGCAGCGCCTGAAAATAGTCCCAGCTAGGTAACTTCCAATAAGCCTATTTTCAGGCGCTGCGTAATATCATTGCGCCTGCTGCACCCATGGTACGGCAGCAAACTCAACTGTTTAACTCTAGGGGAGTTGGAAAATGAGCCTATTTTCAAAAATAGTGGAGTGTTCCTTTAACTGAAGCTTGATTAAGAAAATCTCCACTGTCTTTGCCACTCTTTAAAGGGGTCATGACATGGATTTTTATTATTATTTTAATATGTTCCTTGAACTTATAATGTTAATCAAGTTTTTTGCACACAAAAAAAAATGTATACGTGGAAAAATGATTATTTTCAACCCTCATTCTGAGCCTCTGTCTAAAATGACCTGTTTTTAAGGGGCGGGTCCTTTAAGGCTTGTCTGGAATTGGCCACTGTTATGATTGGCTAACGTCCTTGCATAGGAAACAGTATCAACGCCTCCTCACTATTGCATGTGAGTGTTTTGACAACATGATCAAAATAAAACGGTCATTTCCAGATAAAGCATTATGAAACGGTTTGTGATGCAGCTGCAGTCAGATCTAGAACCACTTCATCTTTCAACAAATGTTTCTTTGTGAACTTCTCCATGACACTGTGCCTCGTCTACAAAACAAAGTACTCCGAACAATCCTCTGACACGATCCAGGATGTTATTAAAAATAAACTATCCTTGTTCCCTATGCTGGGATCCTTCTGATAACTGTACAAAGACTCGAGCGAGCTGTTTAAACCAAACGCGTCAAAGTGAACGTTCTTTCACTGCATAGTAGTGGACTGTGTCAGAAAGCGAATGCGCTTCTGTATACTGTATCCAGTGTAGACAAGATGGCAGCAGTGATTGTAATTTCTATTTGCTTTTGACACGATGCGACACTCGCATTCAGCTTGATCAAGTGTCAAGCCGTTAATCGACTGAACGCTAGTGGGCGGGGCCTATGGTGAGAAGATGACTATTCGTCGATGCCTTGCTCTTGAGGCAGTGTTTATGCAAATGTTTGTGCCCGGGTGACGTCATCTTGCACCTCAGATCCAAAACGAGCAATTTTGGAGCTTGATTAAATAAATGCTTTGTTTACAATGAGGAGGACGTTTTAAGCTATGAAACTTGCATGTTGATGAAATGGGACAAAGACCTCTTATATGCCAAAAGATCAAGGCTAATTTAATTTCTCATGTCATAACCCCTTTAAGACTTCATACAGAAAACAGTAAATTGATATTGAGACAGTGTTAAATTGTATTAAGATAATCTGATTCTTATTGAGACACTGTTAGTTTTCCTATAGTGTTAAAATTACATATTTTCTCTTGTTTCTTTCTTAGACGTCTTCTGGTCATGTCCAGTTGGACAACTGTAACTTTGAGGGCTGTCAGCTGCACATCCGGGGTCCCGGGACATGTCAGGCTCGTTTCTGCTCATTTGCCCAGGGCAGCTCAGCCCATTTTCTGGGGGTGGCCATCAGTTTAATGGACAGTTGTGAGTTCTCAGGGGGAGATTCTGCCTCTGTCACTGTGGAAGGTGCTCCGGTCTCTGAACGCAACTGGGCCTTCAAACACCTGGTCGCCTTGGTCAAGACCTTCACCATGATGACTAGTAATGGGTCAACTGAAATATCTAATCAGGGCGGGAAAGACAGTGTGGGTGCTGGTAGTCATGTAAACACACCCTTGGAAGGAGTTAACACAATGGAGGACTGGAATAAACAGGAAGTAGATTGGGAAGCAAACTGGGCAAAACAGAAAGGTGGAGGTAGTCTTCTTCCAAGTCAGGATGGTACAGTGATTGAGGAGGATGGCATGGAAACATCGAGTGAGTCAAGTGATGAAGATGATGAGCAAGACGGCGAGAAAGGCACAGGCTTAAAACTTTCATATGATCAGCACGGACTAGCGCATCTCTCCAAAGCAGATACGCCTGATTCTTCTGCATTTCCTGCACTGTTGAGTCTGTCTGCAGAACTGCAGAGGGATGCAGAGGCGCGGGACTTGGCTGCATTGGTTCAAGGCTGCCTGCTGCGGCGCTGTCTGCTGCGTGATGGAAAAGGTGGTGTGCACCTGTGCAATCACGGTCAAGCTCGACTGGAGGCCAATGTGTTCAGAGGGCTCAACTATGCAGTGCGCTGCATCCAGAATGCCAAAGTGTGTAAAACCTGCGTCTCAATGGCCCTTAAAGCTGATGTGTGAAATTTTGCTGACCTGAAAATACCTTTTCCAAGTTTAATGTGCAGAGACAACTTTAAGTAAGCTTTTAGTTGGCTGATTTTCCTGAAAAGTATAAGTACAGCAGCTTTTGGTGCTTTGGGAAAAACTATTCACTAGTACTAATAATCCGAATTAGAATTTTTTTTAAAATACATTGCCCCCCCCTCATTTTTATAATCATGTTACCTTTTCCATCATCTAGTACTCTGTTCACTGGAAGTTACTATAAAAAATTAGCATATCTCAAAATGAATAACCATTTTGATACTGGGCAAATTCAGTTGTAACATTTAAAATGATGAATTTGTCATTTTAGTGCTTTAATTTGAACAAAATAGTATAGAATTTTAATACTGACATTAATCCATCATCAGTCAAAAAATTTAAATATTTAAGCACCAGCCAAATTTTCTTCATAAAATGTAAAAAAAAAAAATTGTTCATTTTATTTCATACTGCTTGTAGCACAAAAATCACAAACAACAGATTGCAATGTCATGAAATATTTTCTGTGAATATGTTTCTGATCTTTCTCTTTTATCTTCTTTTCATGTCCTGGTTCTCTTTCACCAGTGTCTCTTTTTTTTATACTGTGTGTCTTTTTTTCTGTTTAGATGGTGATGTTGCGTAATGAAGTGTGTGGGTGCAAGGCGTCTGGTGTGTTCCTGCGACTCTCTGCTCAAGGTCTCATTGCTGAGAACAACATTCATTCCAATGGGGAAGCGGGACTAGACATCCGCAAAGGGGCTAATCCTATCATACTGGTACACATTTCTTTTAGTATGCTAAAAAAAAAGGAGGAGGAATATGTACAGTATAATTAGATAAAAGTGTTTGTTTTTCTTATCCCAATGGCAAATAGTTTTTTCAGTCATGGAAAAAAAATTGCCAATGGCGTAAAAAATGCATATGTTTCTCTTATACAGATTTGCTTTTAAATGAATTAGTGTAATCAGGAGAACTAGTGCAGAGGAAAGTTTAGACAATATAGTGGAATTTCCAACATGCCAGATACTTTTCTGTGATACATTGTTTTTTCTTTCCCTTTCTTTTTTCCTGGCTATAGTGTAATAGAATCCACAGTGGCTTGCGTTCTGGGATTGTTGTCCTGGGCAACGGGAGAGGTTCTATCCGCAGCAACCAGATCTACGGCAACAAGGAAGCTGGCGTGTATATTCTTTTTAATGGCAATCCTGTTGTCAGGTATACAGTGCAGGGGTTATTGTGTTTTATTCAAATAAAGTTGGATAACAAGAAAAAAATTAGATATATTTGTTTAGTATCATGAAACTAAAAATAATGAAGATCTGATTTCTGTGTCTTTCTCTCTTTATGACAGTGGAAATCACATTTTCCAGGGCCTTGCAGCAGGCATTGCTGTCAACGAGAATGGAAGAGGACTGATCACTGGTCCGTTGACTCCAGTATACCATTTTCTATTTGCCGTTTAATTGTATATAGGTGCTTCAAGCATAGTAGACCTTGCCCTTTTCAAGTGTTTCCTCATGCTCTTGAAACTGCTCAATTAAATTATGCTAAATCAATTTGAATTGCTGCTTTACTTCTCTTGCATCTGATAGAGAATGTTATAAGGCAGAACCAGTGGGGTGGTGCTGATATCCGTCGAGGAGGTGATCCAGTCCTCCGCAATAACTTCATCTGTTATGGCTACTCGGATGGAGTGGTGGTGGGAGAGAGAGGGAGGGGCCTCATTGAGGGCAACCACATATACGGTGTGCATATTTCATATTTATACGTTTAAGGCATTTGGCAGATGTTATCCAGCCTTTGTTCTTTCTGTAGCTGAAATGCATTAGAAATTATTTAAGTGCGTGATCAGGTGCAGTGCAACAGTGAGAAGTAATTTTACCATACGCACTGAAAGAAAAAATGCTGTGCGACAAAATGTCATCTAGTCAGAGCATGTTTGGCACACATTATTTAGCATATTGGACCTGTGGGTGAGGCTGCGACAAAAACCAACACAAACACTGTGTGCCCTAACTGTCGGTTAGGCTTTAAAGCTTTAAAAATGTTGATTGGGACACAAAAATTTGAATAAGCATTCTGTTTAGATCAATTTAGTACCACACAAAAATTCTCAAAAAAAACTGGTAACATTACAAGATAAAATAGTAATATTTTGAGAATGAAGTCAAAATTACAGAGGCATTGCGATGTTAAAGGATTATAGTTCACTGCCAGATAAGAAATTTCCTGATAATTTACTCACCTCCATGTCATCCAATATGTTCATGTCTTTCTTTCTTCAGTCGAAAAGAAATTAAGGTTTTCAAGGAAAACATTCCAGGATTTTTCTCCACAAAGTGGGAGGCAACAGGTTGAAGGTCCAAATTGCAGTTTCAATGGAGCTTCAATGGGCTCTACACGATCCCAGCCGAGGAATAAGGGGCTTATCTAATGAAACGATCATTTTCTAAAAAAAATTTGTTTTAATTTATATAAATTTATATTTTTTTCCACCACAAATGCTCGTCTTGCACTAACTCGACTTCACGCATTACGTAATCACGTTAGAAAGGTCACGCGTGACATAGGCGGAAGTACTGACCCAGTGTTTACAAAGAGAACGTGCAAAGAAAATCAAACACCCTTTACAAAAAAAGGTAAAACAACGATATCAGACCATTGTGAAGTTGGAGGAGAAAATGTTTTTCACCCTGCTCTACCTTTTTGAACCGAAGTACACAGATGAAGAACTAACCGCGCGTGACCTTTCCAACGTGATTATGTAATGCATGAAGTCGTGCATGCGCATCACAGCGCTAGTGCAAGACGAGCATTTGTGGTTAAGTATATACATTTGTATTTTTCTTAGAAAATGACCAATTGTTTCGCTAGATAAGACCCTTATTCCTCCGCTGGGATCATGTAGAGCCCTTTGAAGCTGCATTGAAACTGCAATTTGGACCTTTAACCTGTTGGCCACCATTGAAGTCCACTATATGGAGAAAAATCCTGGTGACAGAATTTTTATTTTTGGGTGAACTATCCCTTTAAGACAGTGTTTCTCAACCCTGGTCCTGAGCGCCCCCCCAACACTGCACATTTTGTATGTCTCCCTTATCTGACACCCATTTCAGGTCCTGGAGTTTATTTTAATGAGCTAATGAGTTGAATCAGGTGTGTTTGATTAGGGAGACACACAAAATGTGCAGTGCTGGGGGGCGCCAAGGACCAGGGTTGAGAAACACTGATTTACATAATTACATTACATGAATTATTTAAATTAATTTGCTGATATTGTTTCTCTTTGCCAGTTTTACATTTCACAACCACCTTTGTGATACAGTTTTTTTTAAAGCTGCTTTGGAATGATTGCAGATCTGTGAAGCTGCTTTGGTTGCAGATTGGGTAAAAAAAAAAGATACTTTTTAGGTCTGATTTAGTACCACAGTAAAATAATTACAAGAATAAAACTGAAAAAAAGAGACTTTTTGAGAATGTTGTAATAATAGACATTTGACACGTAATAAAAAGTAAAAAAATAAATGGTTGACTATAATATTTTAGGAATTAAGTCAAAATTACTTCATTAATAATTAATAAAAAAAAAAATAAAAAAAAAGGGGAAGTTGTGGCCTAATGGTTAGAGAGTCGGACTCGTTACCCAAAGGTTGCGGGTTCGAGTCTCGTACCGGCAGGGATTGTAGGTGGGGGGAGTGAATGTACAGCGCTCTCTCCCACCTTCAATACCACGACTGAGGTGCCCTTGAGCAAGGCACCGAACCCCAACTGCTCCCCGGGCGCCGCAGCAAAAAATGGCTGCCCACTGCTCCGGGTGTGTGTTCACGGTGTGTGTGTGTTCACTGCTGTGTGTGTGCACTTTGGATGGGATAAATGCAGAGCACTAATTCCGAGTATGGGTCACTATACTTGGCCACATGTCACTTCACTATTATTACACTTCACTATTACAATGGCCTAACATTGCGATGTTCAATTCAGAAAAGAATAAAAGGGTCAAAGTTCATTTTTTGGTCATGAGATTGTATAATTGTGTGTTTTGTAGGGAACAGAGGCTGTGGGGTGTGGGTAATGTCATCTAGTCTACCTCAGCTCATTGGAAACCATATTACCCATAACCGCATATATGGGCTGGCCGTGTTTTGCCGGAAGGACACGGAGTCTGCTGTGAGCCGAGAGGGCTATCGCTCTTTACAGGAAAGAGAGAGAGGAGTCGGGGTTGGAGAGAGGGACAGAGGAGGTCCTGAGAACTTCAATGAGGAAGGAGAACTGATGGCATGGGAAAGTGATATCGATAGCGAAGATGAACGCTTTTCCTCTCGACGGCCAATCACAGTAGCCCTAGTGGAAAACAACTGCATTAGTCACAACAGAGGTGAGTTGCTGTTAAATATAATTTCTGTGAGGTACAGACTACAGACTTTACAAAGGTAAGTACTGTAGAAAAGTATTAAATATGTATTAAATATGACGCAACCCTGGTCTATATATTGCTTTATGTAAGTGTATTGTATGTATAAAGTTAAAGTTGAATATAATATATATCAAACTTAGAGATGGGCAGTAAAATTATATATTTTTGTGACAAACAATCACGCAGCAGAGATTTGGTGGCCCTTGGCATCAGAAAGTTGTAAAACCCCTAGTCAACTTCACCTGATCATATTAGATTGACATCTCAGCCACTTCTGTCTCCTTTTTCTCCTCTGTCTCTCCAGCTGTTGGAGTGTATGTGAAGAGCAGTGAGCCTCTGAACGTGGTGGCCAACATGGTGAACAGTAACAGAGGAGATGGCGTGTCTGTCATTCAGAGCGCTCAGCTGACGCGTTTAGTTGGAAACTGTGTCCTCTGTAATGGCTGGACAGGAGTGGCCGTGGACCGAGAGTGTCGAGTAGAGCTGCGTGGCAATGGGGTTTATGGCAATAACTGTCACGGTGTCTGCTTCCGGGGCGATGGGCTGATTGTGGAAAACGATGTGGTTGGAAATAATGCTGTTGGAATACGAGTGATGGACAATGCAGATGTTAAAGTGAGTATGCTTCAATTTTACTGTCACATGGTTGAAAAAGTAAAAGGATACAGTGGCTTTGTCCGAAATACAGATGTGTTTGTGTCACATCCTTTCTGATAATATGAGAGATTGACAGATACTGTTTTTAAGGCCAATATTGATACTATTTTTAATTATCTGAAACAATATTTGCAGAACTGAATTTTAATAGTTTTATTTCTAATTTTTGACAATAATAATGTTAATAAAATAATAATAGACTACAATAAATTTATATCAATACATCCTTTCTTCTTCTTCTTAATAATAGACTACAATAAAAAATATCGTTAGCATTGTTCATTATTAATAATAATACTACATGCATTATATTAGTAATTCATGTGTATATAATAAGTATTATTAATATTATTATTATAATTATTATTACAATAAGAAATATATGCTTAGAATATATTATTATTAAAAATACTTTAGCCATTAGAAATTCTTGCTGTGTCAAGAATTTCTGTCCAATGTAAGAATAACATTAATAGAATATATTACTATTATTATTAATATTACTACTACTACAATAAAAATATATGCTTAAAATATATTATTATTATTAATATTATTAAAAATAATTTATCCATTAGAAATTCTTGTTGTGTTACAAATTTCTGTCCAATGTAAGGATAACATTAATTTAATATATTATTATTATTATTATTACAATAAAAATGTATGCTTAGAATATATTATTATTATTATTATTATTAAAAATTATTTAGCCATTAGAAATTCTTGCTGTGTCAAGAATTTCTATCTATTGTAAGCATAAATTACAAAACTGAAAAAATTTAAACATTTTAAAATATTTTATAAAACTGTATATTATCTTTAAAGGCATCATAGATGTGCCCCTAACTGATGGAGAAGTTGGGGGAATTTATAGATGTGACTTTTTGCCTTAATGGGAAATAAGCTTTGTAATCATTAAATATTAATGTAGTTATCACTAAAGCCTACCTTTATACAAAAGTACTGGCTGTGTAGTTATTGACTGACAGGGCAGCAAAGCCTTAGGTTTCGGACACAGCTCATGTACTGTTTAAACTACAGTCCCTGCTATCAGATGCTGACATTTACTTTGTGTTCTGCAGGTATTGAGGAATCGTGTTCAGGTGTTGCGGGGTTATGGGATTTCTGTAAAGGAGCGGGTCCGAGGTGTGGTTCAGGAGAACCTGGTTTATCAGAGCCACTCTGCGAGTACTAAAAACCCCATACGGACAAACAAACAGAACCTGGAGTGTGTTGTACTTAACAACTCTCTGCTCACACCCAGGTTAGATACACTCACGTCATAGGCACAAAACTCTATATGTAGTTTAGAAGAATTCAGTTTCATATATCTACAATATATATATCGTAATATATAGTGATGCACCAAAATGAATTTTTTATTTTATTTTTTACCAAAATTAAAGTCATTATGCCGAAAGCCAAAATTGACAATAATGTTTATTTAATAATCAATTAATCAAATTTATTTAATAACTGACACTAAAATAAGTTGATACAATTTTTTTCTACTCCAATCCATAATTGAAATATAAACATTTGAACGGTGAATGTAAGAAAGTTGTCATGAGAGATTTATTAAAACATACATTAAATAATGAAAACAAGTTTGAGTAATAAAGGGCATTTATTTAGCTTCTCAAGTTTTTTTTTTAGCTGCCTTCCAAGCTATGGACATTGAAAGGCTTTCCTGAGATGAAAGTAACCTTACATGACATTGTTTACAAGCTGTTTTATTGATGTCTTTCTCTTCTGATGTTCATTCCTGTTTATTTTGTGCTGTAACTAGTAGTAAAGAGGAAGAGATGATTGGTTCACATTTCGCCCTTCCAAAACTGTTTCAGGCTAAATGGAAAATTCATTTTCTGCTTAACATTTTTGGTTCTGTGCATCGCTAATAATATATGGCACACTATATTTGATCTGTATTACTCTTTCTGTCCTAGATCACAAGCGCTTTGGACCTTGGATAATCCACCTCCTCGTCCTCACAATAGTAACCCTTCTAGCGTCACCCCCTCCACACTTCCTGCTCACCTTGCCATCACCATGACAAACAGAATCACTGCCTCTGTAGAAAGTGGTTGCCATAACAACGGCAGCATCTTTTGCTCAATTTTATGAGGTACATATTTCCTGGCTTTATAGCTCCACAACATCAGATGGATATTCCTACAATGTTCCCTCAATGTGAACCCTGGGTGAAGGAGGACACCGAGGAGGTGAAGGCACTGCTTCAATGTTGGATGGATGATGAACAATCAGATTAAGCCTCAAGCACATGACGTTAAAATGATCAAAAAGCACTTTTTTAATATGATTAACCAAAGGTAGGTTGTTTAGTACAGTGGTTCCCAACCCTGGTCCTGGAGGCACCCCAACACTGCACATTTTGCATGTCTCCTTTCTGTGACACACCAATTTTAGGTCTTGAATTCTCTACTAATGAGCTGATGACCTGAATCAGGTGTGTTTGATTAAGGAGACATACAAAACGTGCAGTGTTGGGGTGCCTCCAGGACCAGGGTTGGGAACCACTGGTTTAGTAGTCCGATAATCAAACTTTAAAGGATTAAGACCACCTTTTTGATATACTTGGATCTGAAATTAATCAGTCAACTCACTCTAAATTGATCAGTGTTTACGAGCAACTTATTGGAGTTTGGATTTTGGCATCATGAAATGGAAACATTCAGATATGCAGTGGCCACTATGATAGCGGTTTTACTATTTTGGAGACTGGGAGCAAGAGTTATCATACCCAGATTATCATAAGTTCACAGCTAAACTCGAGCTTTTGAGCCCTGTTATAATGTCAAAAAAACCTTAGTAGTAAGAAAATAACAAGAGACTAATGATAAATTGTAACTTCAATCAGTTTTCAGGTAGTTATCCTAAAGTAGTCACAGGGCTTAAAAGTGGTTGGATTTCTTAAGAGACCTTGGCTATGTTCAGAATGGAATACTAGCTTACTATTTACTAAACTTTACAAAGTATATACACTTTAAATTGTCTGTTATTCTTTAAAGATGATAAAACTATAGGTATAATACTGAATCAACAAACACTGTTGTGTATGACCTCATTGTATGTGAGTGGCGACCAGTTGACTTGAATTTTCAAGGTTATTTTGCGGTTTAAAAATGAATTTTTGTGTAAAAATGTCAGTCTGATCAAATAAGACTAATACGATGCTGTATTTTCTGTTCATTCATTATACTGGAACTTTAAAAGTCATTGCTTGTAAATGTTGGATGATTCGGTATGTGAACATTTGCACACTATGCGTAGTATATACTGCAGGAATAGTATGGAAGTATGCCATTACGAACATAGCCCATCACTAAAATAATGGGTCTTGTAATGTGATTTAGTCCCAGAACACTAGACCTTATTTATCAAAAAGTAGCCATCTTCTGTTAGATTTACAGCTGGCTGTTATTATTTTTGTAATGTTCTCATACCAACTGCTGGTTTGATTTGTAAAGTGCAATATGTATAATAAATGTGCCTATTTTTACAGTATTGTTTTTATACTTATTGTGCAGTATAAACAATGGCTATCATAGCAAATTGGTTTCTTCTGATTTCTGCTATTTTTGTCTGTAGTTGTATACTGCATAGAGATGGATTTGATTCTTAAAACCAAAGACATTTTTCATAATCCTTGTCCTTGCTTGCTATACAATAACATGAATCAACATATGTGTAATTCCAATCACTTGCAGTCATCTCAGGTATATGCAAATTGAATGCAATCTATTTGCATCAGGTTGCTGTAAAACCAATCAGAACACGGGCAATTCCAATTTCCGTTAACTGAATAATCCCATTTATTTTCAATTCAATCTTACAAGAACACTGTAATTTTAACACGTGCAGTTACAGTTTGTTCCCAGCTTAGAAACTTATTACTGTCCACAGCTTAGTTCATCCTCTTGCGTTTCCTGCGACCCATACGTTGTTCGTAATGCACCAGTGGAAGCACCAGAGAGGCCATCCTGTGCTCCTCCTGTGTCCCGGCCTGTTCTCTACTGTGGGCTGACTGACGGGACAGGGTCAGCCCCATGGCCTTGGCCACCTCCAACATTCTGCACACAAAGTGTCAAAATAAGGACAATAGGGTTTTAGAGCAGTGTTTCTCATCCTTTTTGACTCCAAAGCACACTTTTGTCTAAAACAACATTTGGAGTGTTTACACACAACACCATTTTCATCAACTAAAAATGGGAAACTTTATTTGGTTTGGCTGTTCATTTACATGACAACTTGCAAACTTTTGAAAAAGATGGCATCATGAGCATTTGTATTACGTGTTCAATCTATAGGTATGTGCACAGGTGCATAGTGTTATTTTACAAAGTGATATCGCCAACTGGCCTGGCATGCATAAGTGTTTTAGTCATTTCAACTGATGCATGAGAATGGGGACTGTTTCAACAAAGTTATCGCCTGTACACAAAACTTTTCAAAAGTGCAAAGAATTTCTTTTCTCTATTTTTAGTACATCGCTGTCATGTAAACATACCCTAAGACAATATACTTATGTACATTTTAATTTAGATTCCAATAACACCTTACAATAAGGTTCTATTTGTTAATTACTAACAATAAAAATTAATAACAATAAAAAATATTTCCAAAGCACTGCATGTATTGCTCATTGTTAGATAATACATTAACTAAAGTAAACTAATGGAACCTTGTAAAGTGTTGCCAAGAATACTTTAATATATTTAAATCATTTTAATACTTATTGAGAACCACCGTTTTAGACCATCACAAGAAAGAAAACACAGACTGTGAATATCTAGTTCCACAATTAAGGTGTATAATAATACATTTGACTTACTTGGCATCACTGATGCCCATGTCTCTGTGTAGGAGTGTAAGGTTAGCCGTCTGATCACCCATGTGCAGCAGTAAAGCCAAACAGTGAGCAACCAGTTTAATACGCATGGACGAAGATACGGTGTTCCTGAGGCTGTTGAGACAGGCAAAACTTGCATTTATATATGGTAATTGAAATTTGTGAGTTAAAAAAAAAGAAAAGGCGGCAAAAAATGAAGTCAGAATAGGCTGCAGGACTGTGCGTAGTTAGGAAAATACACACCTGCCATGGTGGAAACTCTCCACTGTGAAATTCTTCAGCACATTGTGGATAATGACTCGGGGACATCCATCCTCAATACCAACTGCAAATGACAGTAAAAACAAATTAGGTTTTTTAAAGGTTTAAAGGGCACCTATTATGCCCCTTTTTACAAGATGTAATATAAGTCTCAGGTGCCCCCAGAATGTGTCAGTTTGTGAAGTTTCAGCTCAAAATACCCCCCAGATCATTTATTATATCATTTTGAAAATGCCCATTTTGAGTGGAAGCAGAAACACGCTGTTTTCAAACATAGCTCTTTAAATGCAAATGAGCTGCTGCTCCCCGCCCCCTTTTCCAGAATAAGGCTGCCTTTACAGCTCGTAACTCAGATACTCTGCCAAAAAAAATTTCTGTTTGGTTTTGATTATTATGTCTATCATGCTAAAATCATGCGTTTTAAAGCCATATCAGTTTACACTTCTGATATACAGTGGCAAATACACGCAAGTTTATGTTAAAAACACACATAAGTTACAAAAACACAGTCGATTATGTCTGTGAAGTTAAACAGCTGGAAAAGAAATTGCATGTTTATATTAGATCTGTGTAACAGCAGTATAATATACAAGTGACAGCAGCGTAATATACAGTACCTATACTGCTGTCTACACTGTTAATGACCCAAACAATAAAACAAAAGCAGAAAATCACTCTCTGCTCTGGACTGAATAACGTCTATAGATTTAATAAGCAGACTTTTCCTATTTGAATGCTGCTTTTAAATGCTTTAGTGTGAAGATAAACATGGCGGATTGTGTGCGGCTCAAAAGTCGTGGGTGGGGCTTGTAAATTGTGGCTTTACATTTTACAGATTCTGCAAACGGCTTGTTCTGAGACACTGCTTATGACTCATGGGGATTAAAAAAAGGAGCGGGTGGATTTGTATCATTATAGGGTGGTTGTGTACACACACTGCCAACACATATTTATGTTCAAACAACATTTAAAAGTGAATTTTGCATAATAGGTGCTCTTTAAAAAAAACATAATGGCCATATAAAATGAGCTGAACTAGTTGCAGAGACACAGTAATTAATTCTTTATTTCTTTTACACTCACATTTGAAGGAGAGACGTTTCTGTAGCGAGGCTTTGATAAGGAAGGACAGGTACCAGGCACATCGAGACTGTCTGTCACGAGCTGCGTCCTCTTTGGGAAGTAATTCAAGATGTCTAAGAACAGTCTGTGGACTAGAGAACACAACTGGATGTATAAAAATAAGAATTTAGAACTGATCTGGAGCCAAAATGGCTTCCAGCAGACTTTCCAAACCTGAAAACCAATTCATTTTTATGCCTTTCCAGCCATTTCCAAGAATTTTGAAAATAAATAAAATCTTAAGTGAATTAAACTTAAGCACAATTATTTTTTGCAGGACTTTTGCAGGGCTGGAAAACAATTTTGTTTGCTAATATTTCCAGATTAATGGTGATCCTACAAAAATAATGGAAAAAATAACTGTAATGACGCTGTTTTTATAATTTATATATGGCATCAGAAATATTTTTATTAATAATTTATGAATATTTGTGAAAACATGACAAATTAATATTTTTATTAAGCAAGTAAATTATTACATTGATCAAAATTGGAAGTACAATCTAGATGATCTAGTAAATCTAGATCAGGGTTCCTCAAATCTTGCCCTGGAGGGCCAATGCGCTGCAGAGTTTAGCTCCAACCCTGATCAAAGTCACCTACCTGTGATTTTCTAATGATCCCGAAGACACTGATTAGCTTGCTCAGGTGTGTTTGATTAGGGTTAGAGCTAAACTCTGCAGGAAAGTGGATCTCGTGG